ATCTTGCATTTAAAGACTATTAAATATTACTCAAAGATCATACAATCCTCATCGATAGTGACATTGAAACACATTTCTTAACTTTTATATGAGAAAGTCTTGTGCGATACGTCAGATTTTAACTGTACTTAGTATAAAATAAATGTGTCTTAAATATATTACTTTTTTACAAGGGCTGTCCAGCATTCTTTTTATGAATGTCCTCCTGAGCAAAATCTTGGATGTATTTTGATGTTTCAGCTGTTTTTTATCATGCAGTAAAAGTCACTGGGTCCAAAATAACTTTGGATACCTCTGACTAATTGTGTGGACGGGAAAAAAAAAGATTTATAGAAATATACTTTTATATTTCACAGAAGAAAGAAAGGCAGACAAGTTTGGAAAGACGTGAGGGTGATGACAGAAATGATAACAGTATCCCTTTAAATCTGTAATTTTAATTTTTCACCTGTTTTTTATCAGCAGTAAAAGTCACTGGGTCCAAAATAACTTTGGATACCTCTGACTAATTGTGTGGACGGGAAAAAAAAAGATTTATAGAAATATACTTTTATATTTCACAGAAGAAAGAAAGGCAGACAAGTTTGGAAAGACGTGAGGGTGATGACAGAAATTATAACAGTATCCCTTTAAATCCCATAATACAGTGCAACAAGCTCAGTGAAAAAAATAAATCCATAATGGTGGATAAGGCAAAAAAAAATGTATCATTAAATACAAGAATGTATTAGTAAAAGTGTAACTTTAATTTACCTAATTTTGTGTGTGCTGTGTATTTTAATGTTTGTTGGTGTATTTTGTTCTTAGCTTAGCAACACGCTAGTAGTGCAGGGTATTTTTATTAAGCACATAAATATGTAAATGTGTTTGTAGTATACTTAACACAAAATAAATGCATTTCAAATACATTTTAGGTTTTTTTTCTCTCACTAGGGCCAATATGGACATTTTGGATTATACAATAACCAATACTTACCGGTATTTTATTACTTCATTATATTTTGAAGCCAATAATCAATATATCGGCCATTATTAGATATCAGCTAAATTTTGTAAGACTAATTAACAAAAAAAACTCATCTTAAAGGGGTCTCTAGTAAAAAAATAAATATACTAAAATGTATTTGGAATACATTTATTTCATGCTAAGTATACTACAAATACATTTACATATTTATGTACTTAATAAAAATACCCTGCAATTGTACTTTTAACTACTAAACAGGTATGCTTAAAGTCTGTAAAATTTGATTGTGCTATTCCAAGTATACTTCAGGTATACTTTTAATATCTTGCATTTAAAGACTATTAAATATTACTCAAAGATCATACAATCCTCATCGATAGTGACATTGAAACACATTTCTTAACTTTTATATGAGAAAGTCTTGTGCGATACGTCAGATTTTAACTGTACTTAGTATAAAATAAATGTGTCTTAAATATATTACTTTTTTACAAGGGCTGTCCAGCATTCTTTTTATGAATGTCCTCCTGAGCAAAATCTTGGATGTATTTTGATGTTTCAGCTGTTTTTTATCATGCAGTAAAAGTCACTGGGTCCAAAATAACTTTGGATACCTCTGACTAATTGTGTGGACGGAAAAAAAAAGATTTATAGAAATATACTTTTATATTTCACAGAAGAAAGAAAGGCAGACAAGTTTGGAAAGACGTGAGGGTGATGACAGAAATGATAACAGTATCCCTTTAAATCCCATAATACACTGCAACAAGCTCAGTGAAAAAAATAAATCCATAATGGTGGATAAGGCAAGAAAAATTTATCATTAAATACAAGAATGTATTAGTAAAAGTGTAACTGTTTAATTTACCTAATTTTGTGTGTGCTGTGTATTTTAATGTTTGTTGGTGTATTTTGTTCTTAGCTTAGCAACACGCTAGTAGCAAACTATTGAAATGAGAGTCAAGCTGTAGCACTCTAGTAGAAATTTCTATTTCAGTCACTTATGTTCAATGACAGTTAGGATGCTTTCTTAGAAGGAAGTCGCCTATGTAGACAGTAGTGAGGCAGCTTACTAGGCTTTGGAATTCTGACCACAATTGTCAAAACCAACAATCAAAATTGTGATTTTTAGTAAATGTTTACTAGATTTAAAGTCATCGTGCGTTCGAATATGCCTACTTCCCTACTATATAGTAGGCAAAAAAAAAAAAAAAAGGTGTATGATAAAACTTTCAGTCTTCCTCTTCCAGGAAAATAGTGATGACTCATTCTGCACTACACAGATTTTTGTCCAGTCAGATGCTCTTTAGAATGAGAATGTCACTCCTATATCTACAACTGATTAGCAAGTAGCAAATTATGGTTCATGAGTGTGACGTAACTAAAGCCGTATGCTATTGAGGCTAATCCTTTTGAATATGTCCCTCTCAAACTTCCTGTTTCGACAGGAAATGCATAAACACTGGAGCAAAAACTGTGTTTGACAAGCGTTTCACAGGGTCTTTAAGTCATTATGGACTTTTGATGCCGTCTAGCTGTTTCTTATGAATTTGCAGACTCATCTCACCCCTCGTATTCTTGTTTTATTCTTGCAGGAAGTTCATGTCCGCACACATAGACAAACAGTCCTTTTTAATAAAGGTTGTGTTTGGGCGCGCACCTCTCTGGGTTTGCGGCCAGAAGGAGGCCCAGTTGGTTCTGGCAGGCCCAGCTGGGTTCACCACAACAGAGAACTGTGAGCTCTGGGCCCCAGGAGCCCTGGCCAATGGCCAAGAAGAGCGCAGCTCCCGCTACCTGCTGGGTCCATGAATCCGCCTTTGTCTCAGTGTTGTCACACCGTATTACCCACACAAAAGGGCCCAGCACCCCGCACCCCATAGCCCAGTTCAGCGCTGCCCAGATCAGGGGCTGGCATTTCCAAAAGGAGCAACCCCCCACCTCCTGTGACACACATACACAAAACACACATACATCTCATACCAGCCACAATGCCAAAATATTCCAAAGCCTTTTAAAAAAAATCCAGTCAGGACGCATCGGGCCAATCCGAACGCAAGCAGAGAAACTTCTTCCTTATCTTCTCCTCGTACTGTCTCCTTCATCGTCTCCTCATCCCCCTCTCTTCATGATGGGGAAGGATGGGAGATTCCCTTTCAGCCTGCTTTCATGACACAGTCAAAAGGGCGTGTGAATGGGGCGTCCGTGGGAGCCGGGCGGTAAGAGGAACACAGGGATGGCTCATACTGGCCTTCATGCACAGTAGGGGTCGAAGTGAACCCTCTAGCCCTTTTCTATTGCTTGTAATCTCATTTGGCCTCCCTTCTCTTTTTCTCTCTCTCTCTCTCTGTCTCTCCCTCTCTCACTGCCTGTTCCTGCCCAGGTCCTGCACTGTGGCTAACTGCTTTAGCATCTTAACTGTCCAGCATGTATAGGTGCGTCCTTGTGTACTACTTATACCTGAAAAAATGAAACATGGAATGTTGGACACTTAGTGGACTCAACTTTCAAAGCTTTCCTTATGTAGTGGAGGGGCTATCAGAATCCGATGCTGTAGGACAAAATAACCTTCTAAAACTCATACACTAGATCATAGAGTACACAGTGCATTGAAAAAGTGTATTTGAGACACAACTTATGTGAATTTTGTGAGGGAGCGACCCATTAGGGTGCTTTCTGTCCTGACTGAGAACCAATGCGACAAGCGACTTTATTTAATAAGTGATTTGTTAAGTTGTCCTTGTGTCCTTCACCTCAACCATTCACATCTTATCAGAAAATGTATGGAGAACCCAACACATGTAACGAAAATCTAATATTTATAGCAAGAGGTGCATGAAAATTGAAAATGCTACACATGGACTGTTTTCTTAAAGACCGGTGAAATTTCTTGAGTTGAACTTGGTTCAGTTGAGTTGAACTGCTTTTGGTGACATTTTCTATTTAAAAAGTTTGGGTGGGACATATCAAATTGGAATTGTTCATTTTTATACAGTATTTATGTTGTAATCATTTTTTGTCAGTTTTTTTCTTTTTATAAAAATGTTCATAAAGTGTATTGAATTTTTAATCAGCATAAATATTCATGTTCGCCATTGTATTTTGACTGAAGTGGCAAATCAATTTGGCTGATGAAAATAACACTTATTTAACTTAATAAAAGCTTTATCTGGTACTAAACATTTAAAAAAAAAATGCATAAACATTTAATAATTTAAGTATGTAAGAAAAATATATATAAGATTTAATTTAAGAGAAATACAAACAGTGAAAACTGTCATTGTGAAAACCTTAGCTGAAATATCATGGCTTTTAGGTCATATTAATATAAACTAAACTACTGAATATACATTTATTTTAATATATTAATCCACTATCATTTAAATATACATGTTTTGGAAACTATTTTAGGATGCTGACCTACCTATAGCTTGTTGTTATAAAAAAAAACAGTATGTTACACATTCTGACTGCATGATTCCATGTGATTTTGTTTTATTGTCTGTGCTGTTAGACAGGAAATTCTAATATTACATTTATGCTGTGGATATCGCTGATTCATCTCATATGTGTAGGATCTGTTTGAGTAATTAATTATCCCACTGAAGTGGTTCAGTTCAAAGCATTCAGCTATTTTAGCTAAAGTGGAGTAATCCCCAATATACTATGATTACATTACTTGAAACATTTTTCTAAAAACATTATGAAGTCATTAATATTTTGCACTGATACTTTTCTCATCATATTTTTGTCAACAATATTTTTAAATGAAAGTAGTTCAGATATCACCATGCTGTCTTTTTTAATCACATTTTTGTCAATAACTTCACTTATAAAATAAACACTAAACAAAGCACTGATTGGCCTCATGCCTGATGCAACTTCTTTTTTTTTTAAATACACTAGCATATGCTTGACCTCAAAGCAAAAACACAGACTAAAAGCAGTTTCAGTATGTAGAGAACTTCATTGTTTTCTTTAACCGCAGTTTAAATACTTTACATTTGCTAGACTGGTGTGTGTTGTTAACCCATACCTTTATCAAGAACTGGTCCAAATATTGCTAGATTGTCCTTGATAGTGGTGCAGTTCCACCTGCGGCCTCGGAACTGATGCTGACACTCCTGGATTCCCAGTTTGACTCCCTCTGCCACACTGGGCATGATCTCGATGTAATTGCGGCAGAAGCGCAGTTGTTTTGGCACCAGACCAGGTATGGAGCCACACAGGATGGGTTGGGAGCCTAGGGATGAGTACTGCTGCCCAAGGGCCAGGGACCTGGAACACAAGTGTGAAGATTAAAGCCAACCATGGGCACACCTGAGATCTAAGTCTTCTGATGGAGGACGGCTGTTCTGAGCTAATCTTTTATTGAACGTGTATTTTTGTCATGATTATTATGGTTTGTATAGTTTACATGTTTACTTTAGTATTAGATGTAGATGGGATGTTAGTGTTGAAAGTTGTGGTCTACTCGGTTATTATATACTTCTCGTGTATGACCACTTATATCCACTGCAAGATTGCCTGTTTTCGAATATTTATGTCTCTGCCGCTCCGGTTTTTAACTCAAATCTTTGTGTGTCATTAGATATTTGGCTGTTTGCAAGTGTATGCATGTGTGTGGTTGTGTGCAGTAGCTGAGCTGACAGCAGATTCCTCAGAGATTTACTTCTTTTCCAAACAGTGAGTAGCTCAACAGTTTCATGAACACTTCATGGAAACCGTCCCAATCTCTTAGTTATTCCAGAAGCGATACTTTCACACTGGTAATTAATTTTATTGCCTTCTTTCTCTGTCCAAAGTAAGAATAAGGAGATTAAAACACAGTTTTAATGACGTCCTTGTTTTGACATACATACTTTAATACTGTAGGTGTAACCCTTACTCTCCTTTAGCTCTTATTGCTATTTATTGAATTTTAAAAAAATGTGTGTGTGTGTGTGTGAGTGTGTGTGTGTGTGTGTTATTGTCTCTTTGACAACACATGCAGAACACACACACTCTGTCTGGAGCTGTAAGTCGTCAAATTTTCAGTGTTATAAATCCTGTGAATGTTTGGAAAAGATTCAGTTGTACAGCAGAGGAATCTATTAGCAGTTCTGTCCTCATTTTCTCACAGATGACGCTATAAAACATATCTGCATGAACCTCTGAACCCAGTGACATCTGATCTGTACATGTCGCAATCTGTAAAAATCATTTAGAAAATCATAAAGCAAAAGTTTAGACTCGTAATTGTGATCAGATGAGCCAGTGTAAAAAAGACATTATAAAATGCAAGTGCATGCAAACTTCTGACTACACATTCTACATTCTATATATAACGCGGCAAGCTGCTATGTTGCCTCACAACCATTTAAAACCTACAGTTTGGATAATAAACTATATTATTTTTGAGAAGAATTGTTTATTCAATTCTTGTTTGAGTAAATCAAACAATCTTTTATCATATTGCCATTGCGGCCCTTTTACGAAACATTATGTTTTAGGTTAAAGTCACAATGAAACAGAAGTAGACAGATCTTTTCTTCCATATTGTGAAGTACATCAGAGTAAAACAGTTTACCAAAAAATAAAAAAAATGTATGGTGGGGACTTGATTCTGTCCATCCGTTGTTGATTGGATGGAGGCAGATCTAAATGTGAGTTTGAAGTCTATTGTAAGAAATGGGCAGAATTTAGTAGTTTTCCAGTCATTTTGAACTGGATTGGATTTTCTGTTTCTATTGTCACATTCGTCGAAAACTTCTTGACTTTGCTCACACGGTGTATAACAACTTTTTCAACCAATTTTTTTTCGTTGATAATTTCTTTAAATTCTTTAAACCTCTTCCCACTTTGTTAAACTTGTGTTGTTCCCAGTCAAAATGACCCGCCTTCAGAAATATGCTTATGAATTTCTTGTTATTCTATATCATTACCAAATATTGGATTTAGTCTTTTTTATTTACAAACTTGTTCTCTTTCAATTAGCACAGGTTTTGTGTTTCAGTTTTTTAGAGAACATTGGCAAAATTATCCACAAATAATACTTTTATTTCCCTCAAGTTGACAAAAACATTGATTTGGTGATAATACAGCATAATGAGAAATTTACAAGCAACTTTTAAAAGGAACACCAAATTATGTAAAGGATTTTCAACACAGCGCAAGGGTTTAGCAGATGAAATTATTGGTCGTAAGTTTCACCAGTAGATCGGGAAATAAATACAAAAATAAATGCAAAAAAAATGTCAATTAAATTAAATGCATTCATGGAAGAATTGTTTACAATAAGATTAATAAAATGTATTTAGAAAACAGATGGTGAATTTTCATTTCATTCTCAATAAAAGTATCCCTACACTGCCGAATATATATAC